TTGGGGGGCTCACACATAAGGGGGTCTTAGCTCTTGGAGGGAATTCTCCAGTTTTAGAGGTTATGAAGCTCATGAGCAGCTGCCCCACCTGGTGGGGACTCACAGGTGAGGGGGGCTCAGGTATTGGGGGGCTCACAGGTGAGGCGGCTGCTTAAGGGGGTTCAGCTCTTGAGGGGCTCCCAGGTGAGGGCTCTAGGTTTGGGGGTTCAGCTGTTGGGGGGCTCACAGGTGAAGGGTGCAGGTTTGGGGGCTCAGGTGTTGGTAAGGGTGTGAAGCTTTGGAGGTTCAGTCACTAGCCTGGAATTCCAGTGAATTACTAGGAAGTAGAATATGGAAAAACCCTCCCATGCCCCCTCAGTTCTGTCTGAGGTACCGTTGAATTTGGATTTTCTGCAAGGAAGCTTTTCTCTGTTTAGCGCTGATTCTATTTCATGGTAAGGGAAGTCTGCATTAGCCTGGAATTCCAGGGAATTTTTGGGAAGTAGTAGATTATGGAAAGCCCCCCCTGAAATCCCCCATGTCCTCCAGCCCCAAGGTACCACTTCATTCAGAATTCCAGTTCTGGAATTCCCAGAATTGCTTGTACTCTGCAATGGGAAAAACTGGCATTAACCCTGAATTAGGTTCCATTTTTAGGCAGTATATTATGGAAAGCCGTTCCTCTATCTCCAAGTCCTGAGGTACCCCTTAATTTGAAAGCATTTTTGCACCGGAAAGCTTTTCCCTGATTAGCACTGGAAAAACTGGCATTAACCCTGAATTAGGTTCAATTTTTGGGCAGTAAATTATGGAAAGACCTCTTGGACCCCCCTGTGTTGCCCAACCCTGAGGTGCCCCTTAATTTGGAATCATCTTTGCACCAGGAAGCTTTTCCCTGTTTAATATTGGTTTCACTCTGCTGTGGGGAAAATCAACATTACCCCGGAATTGGAGTGAATTTTTGGGAAGTTATGGAAAGTCCCTTTGTGTCACCCAGCCCCGAGGTACCCCTTAATCTGGAATAATTTTTGCCCCGAGAAGCTTTTCCCTGGTTAGCCCTGGTTGTACTCTGCGATGGGAAAAGACAGGATTACCCGGGATTGGGGTGAATTTTTGGGAAGTGGATTATGGAAAGTCCCTTTGTGTCACCCAGCCCCGAGGTACCCCTTAATCTGGAATCATTTTTGCCCCAAGAAGCTTTTCCCTGATTAGCCATGGTTGTACTCTGCGATGGGAAAAACTGGGATTACCTGGGATTGGGGTGGACTTTTGGGAAGTGGATTATGGAAAGTCCCTTTGTGTCACCCAACCTCGAGGTACCCCTTAATCTGGAATAATTTTTGCCCCGGGAAGCTTTTCCCTGGTTAGCCCTGGTTGTACTCTGCAATGGGAAAAGCTGAGATTACCCAGAATTGGGGTGAAGTTTTGGGAAGTGGATTATGGAAAGCACCCCTGGACCCCCCTGTATCCCCCAGCCCTGAGGTACCCCTTAATCTGGAATCATTTTTGCCCTGGGAAGCTTTTCCCTGATTAGCCGTGGTTGTACTTTGCGATGGGAATAGACAGGATTACCCGGGATTGGGGTGAATTTTTGGGAAGTTATGGAAAGTCCCTTTGTGTCACCCAACCTCGAGGTACCCCTTAATCTGGAATCATTTTTGCCCCAGGAAGCTTTTCCCTGGTTAGCCCTGGTTGTACTCTGTGATGGGAAAAGACAGGATTACCCGGGATTGGGGTGAATTTTTGAATTTTTGGGAAGTGGATTATGGAAAGTCCTTTTGTGTCACCCAACCTCGAGGTACCCCTTAATCCGGAATCATTTTTGCCCCGAGAAGCTTTTCCCTGATTAGCCGTGGTTGTACTCTGCGATGGGAAAAACTGGGATTACCCAGAATTGGGGTGAATTTTTGGGAAGTGGATTATGGAAAGTCCCTTTGTGTCACCCAACCTCGAGGTACCCCTTAATCTGGAATAATTTTTGCCCCAAGAAGCTTTTCCCTGGTTAGCCGTGGTTGTACTCTGCGATGGGAAAAGCCAGGATTACCCGGGATTGGGGTGAATTTTTGGGATTTTTGTCAAACCCCCGTTTCTGTGCCCCCCAGCTCTGACGTACCACTACGAGACGCAGTGCATCCCCACACCGGGGGCATGGCTGGCACACCAGCTGCCCGTGTGGTTCCAGAAGCTCAGCGTGGTGGCCACCTACGTCATCGAGGTGGCCGTGCCCGTGCTCTTCTTCGCGCCCCTGCGCCGCCTGCGCCTCTTTGCCTTCTACTGCCAGGTGGGCAGGGGCACTGAACCCAGGGGTGGGCTGGCGTGGGCATTCTGCACCTCAGGGGGGCTGCTGCAGGGGTTTGGGTTGGGTTATTTGGCACTGTATTAATTTTGGGATTTTTTGGGTGGTGTACTAGTGAGTGCAGAGGGTTTAATGTTGGGTAATTACCGGTGTATTCATTTTTCGTGAGTGTGGTGGGTTTAGTGTTGGTCA